TATTATTACCTCAAGATTGTGAATCCCAAGTACTCATTTAAGGCTGAGTCGACCTAGGTACCCAAACTATTTTTATTTTAATAAAAATAGTCGGCTGATGAAATGCCGGGTGTGGGATTCGAACCCACTACCTTCAGATTGGTAGACGAGATAGTGATGGGCAAAACTGTTATTTTTAGATAACAGTTGAAACTGTTATAGTTATTTATAAAAAACAGCTTAAAATAACAGGTTAAAAATAACAGGTTTCTTTATTTTATTGCTAAATATCTGAAAGAGTATGAGGCGGTCACCGCCAGGCGTATTAACGCAGTTGCAAGTTGCAACAATGACGTGCTCGGTGGTAGTATTTCCAGGGTGTCATAACATTTCTAAATATCGATTGTTATCTAAGAAGCTCTCTAAAAACGGGGGTTGTTTACAAATAAGCGCTGTTTACAAATTGCGATATAAAAAAGCCAAAATGCCGCCACTTGTCTATACCTATACATTCCGATCTACCTACGCCCTGTCCCTCGATCCGCGTAGATCCTGAATTGCGTAGCAGCACAGTTTAACGAATATAAATATATATGTATATATTCTTTAAACTGTGTGAGCAGTGTACAGGGTGGGTCAAATTCGACGCTTTTAAATGGAAACACCTTTTCTATAGGAGATAGACGAAAACTAATATCGGTGTCTGGAGCTCAATTTTTGTCAAAAACATGATAGTGAAAACCGCATATCGATATCTGTTACCGTTTCGGAGTTACGGGGTGTTTTTCAAAAATATGCACTTTTAACAAATCGCTGTAACTTTTTTGTTATGGAAAATTTTGTACTTTTATGAAAACATTTCCAAAGCACCTTTTTACGTAGAATTTAATGGTTTAAGTATAATTTTTTAAAATTAATAATTTAAGAATTATCAACAGAAAATTTGATTTTTTATATGGGACACCCTGTATATTTTTAATTTATTGAAAATAATTTAAAATTACCTTTCCAAAAATATAACACACTTGATATTTTGCTCGATTCCTCTTCGAGATATAGAGTATATAAAAATTCGCCCACTTTAAATGAGTAGGCTTTGAACGGCACCGGCTGTAATACAAAAAAATCTAGCTGTGAGCATCAATTAAAACGAAAATAATATTTGCTATGAGAGATGTAGAATTTTATAACTATTTAAAATATATTTAATCAACATCAACACATTTAAACTATGTCTAATATCAAGAAAAATAAATAGCAAACCAAGACATGAGATTTTGCTATAGGTGTTCGACATATCGACCGTCTTCTGTTATGGACAGACGGGGCATTTTTTGCGGAATTTATTAACTCAGTAGGGGTGAAAGATACCCTCTCATAACTGCTAAGTAATTCTAATTCTTGTCTAGATTATACGAAAGAACAAGGAACCTTTATTTTTCCGTAAATAAATCGATAGGATTAGATCCATGGGCACTAAGTCAGGCGGCCTCAACGGCCAACGGCTGGAATCTTGGTTGGCTATTCAATTACTCTTGAAATTGGATACAAAAATTTGCTGATAACTTCAGCGATCAGAGGCGGTGCGTCGTCTTGCTGGAAAAATATGTTTTCGAGTTCCATTAAGGGCATATCATCAATAAAGGGTCCAAAGCCTACTAGTTAAAAGTGGCGAACTTTTAAAAATTCTGTATTTCGAAGGAAATTATAACATAATATCAAGTTTGCTATATTTTTGGAAAGGTAATTTTAAATTCTTTTCAGTTAATTAAAAATATAGAGGGTGTCCCAAATAAAAAATCAATTTTTCTGTTGATAACTCTTAAATTATTAATTTTAAAGAATTATACTTAAACCATTAAATTCTAGGTAAAAAGGTGCTTTGGAAATGTTTTTATAGAAATACAAAATTTTCGATAGCAAAAAAGTTACAGCGATTTGTTAAAAATGCACATTTTTGAAAAACACCCCGTAACTCCGAAACGGTAACAGATATTGATATGCGGTTTTCACCATCATGTTTTTGATGAAAATTGAGCTCCAGACACCGATATTAGTTTTCGTCTATATCCTATAGAAAAGGGTGTTTCCATTTAAAAGCGTCGAATTTGATCCACCCTGTACAGGGTGCATCTCACTCGACGGGCGAGAAGCTCTTAGTTATGATTTTACCATTTGCAGTCAAAAAATAGCAATATAAGAAAATGTGTAGTATATTCTTTATAAGGAAACCAACTACACACTAGAGTTCGAATTAATTTTACACTTAAACTAGCATATACCCGTGAGTTCGTTCGCGTCGAATTATTAATTTGTAATGGTGATGATAAAGCAAAGCAAGAATTTCCATTAACATACAAACTAGATAAAATTTTCTCACATTTGCCAAAAATAAGCTTTAAACGTCGAGCAGTTTAAGCAGAATCGTGGTTAATCAATTACTCAACTTTTTGGAACACCCTGTATTATTTTTTAAAAAATTTCAAAATATGTAAAAAAACAAAATAAATTATGCGTGTCCAATCGTTTTCCCAAAAGACTAACCGTTTTTTAAATAACAAATATTGTAATATTTGAGGGGCGTTTATACCCTCCTGGAATTTGAGATTCGAGAAACCCCTTCTTATCGAACCTCTACACCCGACAGTCAATCCGTTTGCTAAAAATCAGCTTTAAACGTCAAGCAGTTTAAGCAGAATCATGATTACTCAGTGGTCATATTTTATGAAACATTCTGTATATATTTTTTAAAAATCTCAAAATATGTAAAACAACAAAATAAAATATACGTGTTTAAGAGTTTTTTCGAAAAACTCACCAGTTTTTAAATAAAAAATATTCTAATATTTGAGGGTGGTTTCACCTCCTTAGAATTTGAGTTTCGAAAAATCCCTTCTTATCGAACCTCTACACCCTAAAGTCAATCCGTTTTCCAAAAATCAGCTTTTTACGTCAAGGGCTTTAAGCAGGATCGTGTTTAATCAATGACCAGATTTTTCAAAACACCCTGTATAAATTTTTAAAAAATCTTAAAATATTCTGAAAATTTTTCAGAATAAATAAATACCTAAATATTGAAACTTAATAACAAAGTACTGAAACATACAGCGCCATAATATCTCGACCTCCGCCCGTTATGCTCGTAACAGGTTGAAAAACAATATGTATCTGAAACAACTGATGCGTTATTCTCCAACCTGTTTCAAACCTCCATCGACAATCGACCGATGCAGCAGCGTTACTTTCCCACTCCGATTATCTCGAACGCCGCTCTGTTATGCTCGTAACAGGTAAAAAAACAACGTAGCTAAAACAACTGATGCGTTATTCTCCAACCTGTTTCGAGCCTCCATCGACAATCGACCGATGCAGCAGCGTTCCTTTCCCACTCCTGTTATCTCGACCGCCAGGCTTTATGCCCGCAACTGTTTCAAAAAGCTGCTTCTTTTATATCCTATTATTTTTAAGCTGTTGTAAGCCCAACACGCCGCGCCGCGCCGTAGCGCATACCCCACTCCGTTGTCCGTTGTATCTCGCCGCCTGTATCGATGGTTGTCTAAAAAATGTTTTCCATCCATACTAGTTGTTTTTTGGGATTGCTGTGGGATTGCTTCGAGCAGCTTCGAATTTCATGGCGGTGCAGAGCGCCGACTTCGTTTCACGAACAGTCGATCTCTGCGTGTCGTTATTTTATATCTGTTATTTTTTAAAAGTAGTAACGGTTGTGTTATGTTATTTCTAAATAATTGTTATAAAATAACAGATAGTTAAATAACAACCCATCACTAAGACGAGAGCCTGTACCTCTACGCCACCGGGCACCTTATATATAACAATTAAATGGTATTAAAAGGAAATTAAAATATCTATTTTGATATTTTGCCGTACCCAATTTACCTCTTTTTCTTTCCTAGCCTACTATACTATAATTTTTAGACCATATATAATCCTAAGCGGCAGCCTAACATAATTGGTTCTCTTAATATCTCCGGTTAGAGAGAAGGTAGAAAGTTGCGGTTTGCGCTAATATTTTGGAAATGTTGTGCTCTATTTAACTGTGTAAAGAGAAATATAGCCTCCCATTTAATTTTTTTACGCAAAAGCGTCATATCTGTTATGATGTCAAATAGCGCCCTCTAGCTACCACTTAAAAAATTGTGGAAACACAATTTATACTGGGAATAATTAAGGAAGAAAAGCTCTTTTAAATGATCCCTAGTTTGTTTAAATCGGGTAACTCAAACCACAGAGTTATCCCTATTTTAATAAAAGCCAGTTTAACCTTCCCCCACCACTTTATTTTATGAAACAGAGCAAAATACTTTATATCAAAAAAATTTCAAATTTCTCGATGTTTACAATAGTAATATTTAAAATACCTGTTCACCTGCATATTTTTGAGAAAAGCCCTATTTTCTGATTGTCTATCAGAGAAACGCTCCCTAGCGGACATTTTTGAACTTGAAAATAATTTCCAGCCATTTCTCTTGGTCGATTTACTTATTAGAATTTTTTTCCCAAAGTTATACGATAATTTCTGAGATACAGCCGGCGTCCATTCTTAGTTGGCCACCCGGTACAAGGCGTTTCATTTTTTTAATTCAAAAAACATGTGCCATCTCTCGTGGGGAGATTCCTCACGCAAAAATAAGATTTATTTTTCATATCAACCGATTCTGCTTTGTTTCGTTAATCTTTCGATTTATTATAAATATATATGCTTATTCGAATGAAAATTTGAGGGTAAAAGTTACTATAAGTGCTACATATTTTAATGGCTAAAAAAGTGTCGATAAATTAATCAGGAACGTGCATATGGGTTATCACTGATAGAATATTTTTCAAAAAAAACCCACTAACTTTTTCTTTTGATCATCAAAATTTTCTCTCTCTCTCTCTCTCTCATACCGGTCAGTGATCCCTCTGAAACGTTGTGTTAATCAAAATAAAGACAATGGAAGTCCTAAATTCTTTAATTTTCAATTATTAATTGTGGTGTATACTTTTCAATCGAACTTTAGATATGGAGTAGCATTAATAGGTGTAAGACCAGCAGAGCTTCCAGAATTTTACGAAGATACAATACTCCTAAATCCAGGCCCCAGGCACATTATGAAAAAAAGCGATACTTGTTACTACATGAGTATTACTAAAGAAGAGAACTCGTCTTTTACGGTAGCAAATCATCACGGTGACCAAAACATATCTGTAGATAGCTCTGGACTGAAAATTTCCAAAGAAGAGGAGAAATCTTCTTCTCAATTTAAAGATGGTACCAGTCTCCCTCAACTTATACTGCAAGTGCCCACTTGTGTCCGTGAGTGTTGTAAAAATGCATGATTTCATGTCCCAAATGTTTATACGGTAACAGAAATATTTGAAACATTGTTTCTATTTTCAAAATGTTTAATATATGGCATGCTTTTACATAATAATCATTATACATGGTAGGTTAAGAAGAATGGGGTGGACAATTGCAGTCTAAATGGTATGATTTTCTAAAATAATTAAAACTATTTTGTAGCTTTTTACGGAATATGTTAAAACGACTGGCTGATATTGAAAATCAGCAGCACTTTTTTTTAAATACGTTTTTTTTACATGAAGCACCCACAAAGGTTTTTCAAGTCAAAAAGTCAGTTCAAAAATTATAAAATTTCTTATCGTAAAAAATGTCTAATAATTGATTAACATATCAATACTACTTGGCGTATAGTAATACATATATTAAAAATAAAGTAAAATATTTTTAAATGCTGTTAAAATAAATCATCATTCTACTGACTGCATATTTCGAAATCAACAAGGGGTCAAGTATCCTTTTGAAAGATAATAAATGTTAATACTTTCATAATGTATCATTTTAGTTGAAATAACTGGACCCAATATTCAAGGCCCCTCGACTTTTTGAAATAAAAAAGTTAATTTCTTTTAGCTTTTCATTTTTAAAATATAATCTAATCTTCCTAACACCGGTTTTCAAGTTTGGTTTGAGTAATGTTTCCCTTTTTATCTTTTGTTCAGAATTTTACGTTTAGAATTCTATATTAAAGCGTTCCATGAAATTTGTATTTTTATAATTTATATTAAAAAAATAAAATAACACGTCATAATAAAATAACAACTACTATGGTCGAGATTCCATTTATAATTTGTTAAAGAATTTTTCAATGAGTCTCTCATACCTGCCAACCATGAAATAGAGTCTCGCTTAGTCCAGCGAGGTGAACCCTTGGGTTACTTAGGCGCGCCAGGTGTCACAATTTCACCAACTTTAACAGTATTTTATAAAAGCTGTCGTTTACAAATAATTTTACAATATATAATTATAAGATTGATTGACTTACCTGGTAAGGAAGATCAATCTTGATTATTCGAGCATCGTAGTCCTTCTATGATAGCTTTTGGTAGGTATCACTTTTCCTATCCCGCGCACAAAGTGGTTCGAAAGAATGTGTAATGTAAACAAACATCCTCAGCTTCGGCCCTGGAGGCGACCCATCGGTCCTTAATTAGTTCATTTGTGACGGAGTAAATCGCACTGAATCGGGTAATGTTTGGGGTATGGGAGGGCTCTATCATAGAAGGACTACGATGCTCGAATAATCAATATTGATCTTCCTTACCAGGTAAGTCAATCAATCTTATAATTATTCTTTGCATCTCCGTCCTTCTATGATAGCTTTTGGTAGATGTTCATAGAAACTTTATTCGGTGCGATATTGGTAAGAAAGCTAGATAATATCTAGTAATATTTTATTATAGAATTATTATCTATAATTAATACAACCTAAATAAAATATTTGCTTATATTATGTTTACCTTATGTTTTAACCTAAACGAAAATGTTTGCCTATATTAATCGTAACGATATAGTAGTAAAACAATTAATACCAAAAAGAAAAAAACAAAATAATTATTTAAATTAAATGACTACGAGTAAACCTTACAATAAAAGGAAACAGACACACAATAAGTCTAATCTTGTTTAGTTTTTTAGTTTTTACGAAATTTCTTAATTATCCATTCTCTTAATAATACAATTAGCAAAATCTGTAAGGTTGGTTGCCAAGGGTAAATTGTAAAAGTTATTAAGTACTTTAGATCTTTCTGTCCAGCCTGCCGTTTTTTTTTGTTTTTTGTTTTAATTAAATCTATGTTTAATCCTGACCTATAAGCTGCTGACGTGGTGGCATAACAGACACTAGGACCCTTAATATGCAAGTATCAATACCACTTCTTTGTAAAATTTCTTTTACCCAGCGAGATATGCTTTGGGTCGATGTAGCATAAAGGGGTCGCTGGTATGTAATTAACTTAACAGTGAATTTAGAGTGAGTTACGATATAACTTAGTCTTATCTAAATAATACATTAATGTAGATGCAACACATAGTCCTGGTTTATCTCTAAAGTATGGAAAAACTAAAACCTTTGTTGTTTCCTTTTAACACCTGAGGTCTTTATTCTATCAGGAATTCTGATCTCGATCCGATCTGATGTTAAATACAGAGATTTTTGAAATGGTCTGAACTCTGTCCTCCAAAGTAAATAGCAACAGAGTAGCGAGTTTCAATGTCAAGTCCTTTAATGTAAGAGTTTCATTGGGAAAAAGGCTATTAAAATAATATCGATAATACTGGATAGGTGTCCCATGTTGACTCATATCTGGGTGTTGCCGGACGTCTGTTGCATAAACTTTTAAAAAATCTCTTTAGCACTAACTCATCCTCCGGCGTATAAATACTAATTAAAATGCCGATCTATAGCAATTAAGAGAAGAATAAGATAAACCATTATTAAAAATATCTGTTAAGAAGATCAGTAACGCATTTAAATTGTAACTAAAAGGGTTATGACTCCTATCCCAACAAAACTTTCACCATTTTTTATAACAATAAGAATATTGTTTTAAGGTCCTATCTGAAAATGATTATAAAAAAAATTGGAATAGTTTTTATTCTGCAATTTGTTTTTGTCTTAGTTTAATTAATTTGTTTTTAATATCCTCTGCCTTTTCTATTGGCAGGCCTAACGTCATAAGAACTGAATTGAAAGTAAACCCTAAAAATGTTATATTCTGTGTGGGAATTAAAATTTATTCCAAGTTAAGAATAAAACCTAGGCTATATGAATTGAAAGTAAACCCTAAAAATGTTATATTCTGTGTGGGAATTAAAATGTTTTCCAAGTTAAGAATAAAACCTAGGCTATATAAAAGTTCTATAGTATTTTTAGTCGTTTTAGTGCAATCCGCAAAGGTTTCACCAAAAATTAAAATGTCATCTAAATAAATAACTAAGATATGCCCTCTCTCTCTTAATCTCTTTATTGCCAGTTTCTATAGGTTTCATTAATAAATAACAGAAAATATGCATTTTTTTAAATCGATCTTGACATGAAACAATTATAAGTTATTAATTTCAAAGCGCTTCGATAATCCTCCATCTTAAAATGATATAATGAATGATGGTTAATAATAAATTTGTTTAATTTTTTTAAATTACAAATGAATCTATGCTCTCCATTGGGCTTTTTTATTAAAAAAAATATGAAGACAAAAACTGGGTCTTTTTATAAGAACACTCTACTATAGCTTCTTTCCCCACTAATTTTCAATTTCCGCCTTATAAATGGGCAACTTGAAATTCGAAATTTTTATATTTGGAATTCTAGGCTGGATAGATTTGCAAGAAAAAAGGTAATTTTATGCCTGATACCCAGTGACGAATCTGTATATTATCAGAAAGTTTAGACAATTGTTCTTAAAAAAATTTAGTCTGCCTGCATTTTTCGGTAATGTGTTTACCTCTATTTGCGAAATGATCTTGGTGGGTATCTGCCCCTCTCTGTCTGGTTTCATTCTGGTTTTGTAAAGAGGGCATTTGGAGTTTAAATTTAAGGCTCCAGATGGCCCAGCCCTTGAATAGAAATCTATCTTTTTGATTTCCTTGATCTCCTCTATTGTTTTTTCCATTTCTTTGTTGGCCTTTATTTTAGACAAAAATTCTGATCCAAACAAGTAATCATCTAAAGATGCTTTAATAGCCGCAGATCGGCTTAAATACGGATTAATTTCAATCCTTCTTTTAAACGAGATTGCTTGGTGGAAATAATAAATAATTGTCCTTCCTCAACCAACTTCTCTACAATATCATCTGTCAATATTAATTCTCTGTCTTAATTGAACCCAAGAAGTTAAGAAATAAAATTATCTAAGAATGCAGGCAAAACAACGGATATTTCGTATATCCTATCAAATATGAAATAGTGCTGTCAAAGCAACGAATATTTCCTATAATATAAAATACATAAAATCTCCTGTATGAAAAAAATTTATATGACCAGAATACCAGTCAAGACAACAAACATTCTCTATAATAATAAATCGAGATATGACAAGAAGCCATCAAAAATGTATATTGCCAGAATGCAGTCAAGACAACGAAGATTTTATAATACAATAGGCTTGTATAACAAGAATAATAGCAAATCAAAATTATTACAGGAATGCCATCAAGACAATGGCATTCTGTATAGATAATTTATATGGCCAGAATGGCAGGCAAGACAACGAACATTCTATATAAAAGCCTTGTATAACAAGGATAATAGTAAATCAAATTATTACAGAAATGCCTTCAAGACAATTGATTGTATAGATAATTTATATAGCCAGAATGGCAGTCAAGACAACGAACATTCTCTATAATAGCCCAGTATAACAAGGATAATAGTAAATCAAATTATTACAGAAATGCCATCAAGATATTGACATTCTGTATAGATAATTTATAAAGCCAGAATGGCAGTCAAGACAACGAACATTCTCTATAATAGCCCAGTATAACAAAGATAATAGTAAATCAAATTATTATAGAAATGCCATCAAGACAATGACATTCTGTAAAGATAATTTATATAGCTAGAATGAAGTTAAGACAACGAACATTCTCTATAATAGCCCAGTATAACAAGGATAATAGTAAATCAAATTATTACAGAAATGCCATCAAGACAATGGCATTCTGTATAGATAATTTATAAAGCCAGAATGGCAGTCAAGACAACGAACATTCTCTATAATAGCCCAGTATAACAAAGATAATAGTAAATCAAATTATTATAGAAATGCCATCAAGACAATGACATTCTGTAAAGATAATTTATATAGCCAGAATGAAGTCAAGACAACGAACATTCTCTATAATAGCCCATTATAACAAGGATAATAGTAAATCAAATCATTACAGAAATGCCTTCAAGACAATTGATTGTATAGATAATTTATATAGCCAGAATGGCAGTCAAGACAACG